TAACCATGCATTGAAAATACTCTTTGAGACTGAGAAACAATTGCATTCGTCAAAGAATCAAACAATGTGGATCATTGCAGCATTGCTACAAATGAGCTCTCTGAAATCTTCACCTGATGCAAATGAATCAAGGTTGAGCATTAGAACCTTAAATCCACAAGGCAAGAATGATAAAAAAAAAAAAAAAGTTGTTGTATAGCTATGGTATTTTGGACGTGACGACTTGTACTTTATGGTACTACCTCGGTTAGCTCTATATTTACAGCATGTTTGGCTAAGATTACAATCGGATTAAAATTGAAAAATTAGCCGTTATTGTTGACTTTTATTAGACGAGTGGGACCCAATAACGACTATATTTTTAATTTTAGTTGGATTTTAATCTTAGCAAAACATGCTCTAAGATGCAAGTGCAGATTTTTGCAGCACGTCCACAAATAGTGAGAGTTTGAAGTATCTTATTACCTATTCATGTGACATTGTGACAATATTGCATCTCGTAACACTGGGTTGCAAGATGGTGAAGAAACCCTCGAGTTTATGTGGAAAAGAGCTACTGGAATGCGTCAATCCAACTCTCTCAAGATGTTTCTTCAAAAACGAGGAAAGTTAACGTCTATTTGTCTCAATCAAAGTAGCTCACCCATGTTTTAGTTGTCTCTTCATAAATTACATACCACTTGGCTAAGAATTAAAAATGGTGGAAGCTTAATATTCAGTCTCATATGCAAGCTAGCAGTATATCGCATATGAGGGTCTAGTCTTATGTTCCTTACTAACATGGTGCATATTCTACCATTTTCGTCTCAAGAACTTCAACTTCACATTATTGCGACTGTATCGTTTGAAACTGAGAACCAACATAGACAATTTCCCCCCTTTACCATTCTATTGTGGTATTGAATGATGACCAAGTCTTCTCATATAATCTAGTCGTGGCAATGGCTGGATTGGAGTTCCATCATCGTGATCATGTACATAAGGCCAAAAAGTCATGGAAATTGACAGGGGCGGTCGCAGACCATAAAAGTTAGGGGGCAGAATCGAACTTGCAAAGAAATTGGGAAAAATTTTACAATTGAAAATTTACGTCCAAAAAAAGCATACCCCATGTAATTTTACATCCGAAAATTTACATGAGATATGACTTTTTAGGATGGATGTAAAATTTCGAAAAATTTTGAAGTCATATTCCATATAAATTTCCTAATAAAATTATGAAAATTACATTGAGAAATTTGTATCGCAANATTCGAAAAAAATTTATGTCATATTCCATATAAAATTTCCTAATAAAATAATGAAAATTATATTGATAATTTTTTATTGCAAAAATTACAAATGTTTATGAAATAATTGAATTTTTTTTTTAAAAAAATACGAGTTAGACGTTTTTTTTTAAGACTCGCGTTTAACGTATTTTTAACTTTTTTACTATATGTTTTGACTATTCGATATGTCCATAATGTAGTTCTCGAAATAAATATTAAGATGACATACGCAATTCGTAGATTCGATTAGCATACAATCGTCGGAGAATTTTTAAAATTAGCATGTTATCGAAATTCAAATTTATTGTGCTTTTGCCCCTATTTGGTGGTGTGGAGCTAAGGATCAATCTTGCATTTAATGCTTCTATTAAAGAGGGTAAATTCTAGAAGCCATGTTTGAGCTTGTTTGGTTGCTCGCGTAGAATGCATCTTAGGTCGCAGTCGTCGTCATAATGTGGAAATGATACTTCAGAATACTTAGATTTCATCCCTAAAACATGCATAAAAAGAAATCAATCCGTTGAAACTTGTTTCCTTGATTGTGGGTCCAAACTGTCGGAGGCTTGTTGTCATGGAAAAGAGGTGGTGGAGACTATACGAAACCAGGATGGAAATGCTCTAAGCATTGGAGTGAATACACCCCATAGATCATTTAATGACGATGTGTGAAAAACAAATCAAGTAGGATTTGATCGTTTTAAGGATGGAAACAACTATGAATGTTTGGATTTAATTGCCCTCGAGCACGAGAATCAAACCGGATGTGTCTCAAGTATCCAGCAATTATATACGCCAAATGACTCTAGGAAGATTCATTCTAGCAACCAATGATAAGTGCGTTTTGTGCACTTATTCAGGCCACAAAATATGAAAAATTGTCGATATGTATGTTGAAATATGGCTTACTTCGATATATTTATGTTTGTAGGATTACATTGATGGATGGAATGAACAATATGCAAAAGCGATCGAAAAAGGACCAAATTGGAAGATAATGAAACTTCGAGGATCAAAATGTAATTATTCAAAAGATTACCCGAATGACGAATCAAGCTTAGACTTGAGCTAAGTAACACATTGTGATGTCAAAGAATGCTCGAAGAAGAAGGGGAAGGAAGCAAGACCAAAAAGTAAATGAAATAAAATTTGGGG